CTCATATTGACTCGATGCATTCAAGAAAATGGGTGTTAGTCTCAAAACTTAAACTCTAAACTTAATTTATAAGATGACATTTACATAGTAATAAATCTAAACCATGCGGTTAATCCAATGGATCTTCAAACCTCTTCAACAAATATGAAATAAATAGTTGATGGATCTTTTAAAATTCAAACTCAATCAGATTCTCAATAATAATTTTTTCATATGCATCTTTAGTATATTTTTAAATACCCAATCCAAATAAATATGAAATAAATACTCTATGGTCCTTTAAAATTTAAACCTAATTAGGTTCTTAATAATAATCTTTCCATACGCATCTTTAATATTTTTTTTAATAAATTAGTATTTATCAATCAAATTTGCAAAAAAATTAGACAAAAAAAATTAAAAATACTATGTCATTTCAATAAATCAATATGAGAAAAAACTGAAACAGTCTTATTCCTAATTTAAAAATTATAATGTTTTAGTCATTTTTAATGAAAATTTATTAAAATGATGTAATTTTGAAGTATTTTTTTACCTAATTTTTTTGCAAGTTCAACTTATAAATATTTTCCTCTCATTTTAAATATGAATATTGATTGATGCATTTTTTGTTTCAATATATTATATCACACATTCATTAAAAATTATTATTTTTTGATTTGAAAATAAAGGTAGATAAACTTAAAGATGTAGCTGTACATAAGAATGCAAGAATCAGTTCAATTGACTATATTTATATTATATTTTAATGACAAAATTAGGGGAGTGGCGAAATGTGTATTGAATTAGAAGGTGTATTAATTATTTTAAATATCATTTCAAATACCCAATTTAATAAGTCTTCTAAAATTTCAATAAATATCAAATCAATAGCCAATGGATGTTTTAAAATTTAAACACAATTATATTCTCAATAATAATCATACATATCTTTAGTATTATTTTAAATACCTATTGGATCTTCTAAAATCTTCAATAAATATCAAATGGGTCTTTTAATATTCAAACCCAATTACATTCTCAATAATAATCTTTCATTTCCCTTTTAGGATATTGATTAGCACATTCTTTAAGTCAACACATTGTATAACATATTGATTAAAAAATTATTATTTTCTAGTTCATAATTAAATGTAGACAAATTTAAAAATACAATTATACATATATGATATAGGAATTGCTTGAATTAATTATACTTATATTATATTTTAATAACTGAAACAAGACGAGTATCAAAAAGTATGTTGAATTGAGTGTATATTAATAATTTTCCTTCCTTTTAATATAATTTTGCTTTCTAAATAAAATAATCTTTCCTTTTAATATATTTCCACTTCAATTTGGGTTCTACTACTTCAATTATATCTTATCTTATTGGCTAAAATATACAATTGGCCCCTCACCTTAATAAATTTGAAGGTTTTTACTTTTCATCTTACATTATGAAATTTTTAGTCTCTAAACTGAAAGGTTTGAAGATTTTAACCCCTAAACTAATAAAATTCATTAACTCTCAGTTAAAGTGAGAATAAAATATTTACAAGATCAGTCGTTAAAGATTACAAATGTAACAATTTAGTTTCAAAAGTTTAAAAATTAAAAAAAAATTAGTAAATTAAAAATAATCAATGGATGTTTTTGCCACATGTATGAGAACAATATTAGATATCCACAAGAAAATTAAGTGATTAGTTCAATCTAAAGGAAAAAATTTGATTGAGACAAAAGAAAATTTCTTAACTATATTCTTTTAGTTTCTTGGAATTTCTGTCTTTTTAGTCTCTTGGAATTTATGTCTTAACTTAGTTAAGAAATTTTCTTTAATTTCAGTCAAAATTCCTTTTTTAAATTAAGCTAATCACTTGATTTATTATAAATATCTAATATTATTCTAGTGCACGTGGAAAGGGTATCTATTAATTCTTTTTAATTTACTAATTTTTTCAAAATTTAAACTTTTGGAACTAAATTGTCACATTTTTTTATTTTTGAGGACTGATCTTGTAAATATTCAATTCTTACTTTAAGCGAGAGTTAATGGATTTCATTAGTCAATGGATTTCATTAGTCAACGGGCTAAAATATTCAAACATTTAAATTTAAGGACTAAAAAAACTTTATAATATAAATTAAGGGGCTAAAAGTTTCAAATTTAATAAAGTAATGAGCTAAATGTATGTTTAGCTGATCTTAGTACATTACATTCTTAAGAATTGTTAAAATCTTTAACAAATCTATAATAAACACCTAATATCTTGTTATAATCTCTCTAAAATCTCCAATAAATATTCAATCAGCCTTTTAAAATTTTTAATAAAATAAACATAAATATAATTTTAATTTTAATTATTAAGACCTCAATTCAATTCCACAAAGTGGTTTGGCAAAATAAAAAATAATAATAATAACTTCTTCTTTTATACTTCAATTTAATTGATTTGTTAACTTTAATTCCAACTTAATTCGATAACTTTAACTATATAATAGTTCAAATATGATATTATATTATACAAATTGTTAAAATCTTAAATAAATATTGAATAAATACTTAATAGACTTTTTAAAATCTTAAATAAATACCAAATGAACCTCTTAGAAAATAGGTATTGAGAAAGTTGGTGCCTAATTAAATTAAATTAAATTAATACCATTTTAAATTTCTTACATGATACATATAATCTCTTATTAGATCAATTCTTTATATAATAATATTTAATAATACTTTAATTATATTAAATTTATTGTCAATTATTTTTAAATCTCTTTGATTACCTTATAATAATATGATTTCTACATTTACATATATTATTAAATTTGAAAATAACATACCCAAATATTTATATGTTTAGCATAGATACACATTATATTATATTCAAACTAGATTTCACAAATTGATTCTTATTTACTCCATTATTCTTGGATTAAGGGAATAATAATTAAGATGTAAATAATTTTTGATAAACATATTTCTTAATAATAATTACTAAAATATTAAGAATTATGAATAATTACAAATTTAATGTACAATTGATGTGTTTCAACTTAATAATGATTATATCAACTTGAAAGACTAATTTAAAAAGTGCGGAATAAGTTTTAAACAAATTACTTAAGCATAAATGGAAAGTAAAAACATTTATACAAAATCTGAAAATAAAGAAAGAGCCTCTGTTAAAAACTTAAAGATGTTTTGACATTGTATTTATCAAAAGCGTAAACTATAAATCAAAAAATTATGAAATGGTAAGGTAAGAGCTCTTAGAGGTTTTCAATATATTTATTAAGAAAAAGTTAAATAATTCTAATATGAAAAATGATATGTGCACACCCAGGTCAACATCCGGGTATGTACACTCCCCTTTGAAAAAAAAAAAAACTCATCACCACCCGGTCCAATTTTTTTTTTTATGTGGAGGTGCACACCCGGGTGTTTGATCCGGGTGTGCACCAATCAAGGTCCTTCTAATATACACATAATAAGGACGAGGGAGAGAGAGAGAAGTATAACTAAGGGAAAATGTATCGAGAGAAAAAAAAATTGTAAAAAGGAGATATATTTAGATAGATAAAATTTAAAAGAATGACTAAGAAAGAATGATAGAGATGAGAGGATAAATGAAAGAATAAATTACTAATATAAAGTGGTAAAATGAAAGAGATATTGTAGGCTCTTTATTTTGTATTGGTTAGAGTTTATAACTTTGTTTATATGTGTATAAATTTATTACATATATCACTAAATTATTTTTTATTTTAAAATTTTTATATGTTATTATAATATTGAGAAAACAAAAAGATCTAATGATAGATAGAAAGAGAAAGTTTGAGTAAAAATATATGATGATAGATGAAGATACAAATGGTGACTATGCAAGAATGATATTAGGGGAGGACAGTGAGAGAATAATTCTTATAAAATAAACAAATTATTAATATAAAAAGAGAATGTGAGGGTAGATAGAATTTAAAGTGAGAAAAACTAAGAATGTAACTTAAGAGATGATACTGTAAGAAAAATTAATAAAAGGTGTGAGCAATGGTAGAGAAGTAAAAAGGTACGAATGAAATAATATTAAAAAGTAATGCTTTTTAAGTATTGATTTAGAATACGTCTAGTATAAATAAAGGGCGAGAGAGAAAGGGAATTGGAATAAAAATAGATATATAATGATTAATAGAGGTGAGATGAGTGATTGACAAAGAATAACATTATTGGGAGAATAAGGGGGAGAAAGAATAATAATAACAAACAAGTTATTAATATATAAAGATAGAGAAAGTAGGTAAATAAATAAATATAATAATAAAATATGTGAAAGCAAACTAAAAAATTTGTTGTAAGAAAAATTAAGAAGGAGATGAGAGATGAGAACAATGAAAAGATTAGGTAAAATGGAAAGATACTAAGAGACATTAGAATGAGAGATGAGACAAATTAAGATAAAAAAGAGATATATAATAACAATAGTTATAGATGTAAAGATAAAAGAAATTAATGAAGATTAGATGAATTATTTTATTGTGTTTATCTCAAAAAAATTTAATTGATATATATGTTAAATATTTGTTTATACTAAATTAATATACGTTTAAATGATTGTTATATTCATTAATTAAAGCTTTCTACCCTTTATCCGGTCGGATTTCCATCGGAAAAACAAACTAAAACTAATTTTTAATAGGATAATGATATAAAAATATTTTTTATATAATTTTTATATGTTATTAAATTTATATTTAATATTATAAAATTTAAATAAATTATTTAAATAACATATAAAAAATAATATAAAAAATTATTATAAATCATTTTCCTTTTTTATAACCAATAATCATCCCAAGAATCCACATGTCTCTCTTTAATCTCCAAACCATTAAGGATCGATTGACATCCAACAAAATACGAAAAATAAAAAATAAAAAAAATTAAAACAAAATCTCCAGATGTGGGAACCATGACACCAAAGCAGCAGGAGAAACAGATACATCTCCCATTAAGGTGGGCAATGTATAGACTTAAATACAACTTTGAGAGGAAGCACGCGAAGGAATCCTTAGTGTATCCGGTCAAAAAACTTGCGCTGAAAACATCAGTAAATTAATTGTTATTGCCACAAATTAGAGAAAGAAGGGAATGGGGGAAGTGCTGAATTAGGCAATGTGGGTCTTCCTCTTCCATTGTGGAGTCTACCTTTATTTTTAATTTTTTGAGAATAGGTAATGGAAGTCCACCTTTATTTTGTTGTGGTGGATCAATTTGGTAGTACTACTGCACTAGCTCCCATTGCCTATTTTCCAAAAAAAATCAAAAGTAGTAGTACTAGCTGCATGATAAAGGATGGGCAAGGGCACAACAATAACGCCTTTTTCCATTTTCCTATATCACACAGGTGGAATGCATCGTCATTCGTGACACACGTAGGATAAGGACAGGCATATCTTTTTTCTTTTTTGGTAGAAAGGACAGGTATATCTATACATCATATTCTATCTATAATTTTATTAATTTATATATATTATTTTTAATAATATAATTTTTTAGTTTTTTAAATATAAATTATAGGTAAAAATTTAATATACTATATAAATAATAATTAAATTATTTTTTAAATAGTTTGTGATTCTCTGTTTATTTTTAATTGATTTAATTTGATTTTTTTAACTTTTTAAATATAAATTTTAGATAAAAATTTAGCATGATATATAAATGACAATTGAAGTTTTTTTTTATCAATTTATAATACTCAACAAGAAATTTATCTAGAAAATAAAAAGTTTTCAATTATTGTTTATATAAATTATCAAATTTTTATTTAAAATTCATATTTAAAAAGTCAAAAAATTAAATTAGACCTATTATAAATAAACAAAAATCGTATGATAATTAGTTATGATATTTAAAAAAATTCATTTATAAACTAATTTTTATATGTTAAATAATATTATTTTATTATTAATTAATTAATTTTAACGTTCAAATTAAAAAAAATTTAACAATTAAAATAACCTTAACAAATTTTAAAGGTGACTTGAACTCACGCCCTATATGTATCAATTGTTTTTTTAATAAAATATATTTTTTTATGGTTAAATTCTTTAATTGTATCTTACATATTATTTTTTTATAGTTAACACTTTTAAAAAATTTTATTCTTAATCAATATCATAATTGAAAACCCATAAAAAAATAAAAAAATTAATGATCAAATTTCATATTTGTACTCTAATTTTATTAGTATTTTGAAAATTTTTTATGAATTTTAAATTATAAAAAATGTTGATTAAAAATAAAATTATTAAAATTGTTAATATTATAAAAATTATTAATAGTAAAAACACATAATGTGTAAATTGTAAATAGGGAGTTTGGCCTTTTTTATAAGATACATACCCATGGTTTTTTCTTCTTTTTTTTTTTTGACTCGAACTTATCAAGTTGTGATGAAGAGATCAAACATATGGGGGACCGAACATCAACCACCCTTATAATAAAGCATATAAAGCACCTACATTCTTGGTTATGTCCTAACTATTCAACAGAAGAACATGAGAAATTTATATCATGTTACAGGTTTTCCTAATGCAACATCAAAGTTACCTCGACAATCTAATGTAATTATTCCTGAATCGTAACCAAAAAGAAGATCGATTTGATATCCTAATATGAAATTTGATCTCGTAGGAATAAAATTTATCATACCAAATTTTTATCAGATTGCTTTTCCTCTCCATTAACTTCAAGGGTTTCACTATTGTCTTTGTATCTATACCACCTGGCACAGACCAGAAAATAGCCCATATTCAAGACTCCTAAACCTGCAGTCATGTAGTAGTAGTAGTCCAATCTTCCCTTATTAAGATCCTCTGGCAACCAATCTCCTGTTGCAGCTCCCTTTGTTGTTCGGTGAACTACCTGTATCAAAATGCTACACAGATAACTTGATGCTGCCATGTTGCAGTAAAACAAAGCACCTGCAATGCTTTTCATGTTCTCTGGGAACTGCTTGTAGTAGAATTCCATCAGACCAATGGAAGCAAACCCTTCTGTGATTCCAGCGAGCGTGAATTGAGGAATCAACCATAAGCCTGACATGGAAGAAATAGCGCCTTTTCTTGGCACAACTCCTAGAGTTGGCCTTGTGAGGGCTATAGTTTTTCTTTGTTTTTCAACGAAGGCAGACACAAGCATGGTAACTACGGAGAGAAATATTCCAATGCCGACTCTCTGGAGGACTGTAATCCCCTCTTCTTTTCTTGTCAATCTTCGGAGGAATGGAACAATGATTCTATCATAGATAGGTATGTAGATGGTCATGCTCAGCATAAGGAACACAATGTATGTTGCTGCTGGAATCTCGAAATCGCTATCTCCAAGGCGTCTGTCGGACTGAAATGCTTGGAAGACTGCATAAGTTTGCTGCTGCACTATGGCAACATAGTATATAATTCCTGATGCCCATATAGGAAGCACCCTCAACAGGCACTTCACTTCTTCCACTTGTTGCAAACTACAAAGTCTCCATGGATTGGCTGGAGATCCATCTGGGTTTATCTTGTCTTGGGGAGTCAAGATAGCTGCTTTTTCAATGAATCTGACATTCACCATCAAACTTAGTTAGAAAAATGAAACAAATTCAAAAAAACAAGTTTCCTATGAAGAAAATTTTAAGTTGTGTACCGTAATTGATCCGTGTATGGAAGCTTGGAGTTGATGGACTTGGGAGGGATATAGTTGAAAAGAGAGAGCCACGGTACATCTGGCGGGCTTAATTTCCTCTTCTTGATTGCAACAACTATGACTTGAGCCACACTAGTCATTGGACTACCATTTGCTTTCACTTTTACATATATCTTTGAACCGATGAAATAGACTACACAGGCTATGAGCATCAAAATTGCTGGAATTGCTAACCCAATTGCCCAACTCACATTGGATTGAATGTATACAATCAAGGTCAAGGACACCATCTGAGCAAATGTGAAGGTGAAGAAGTACCAATTGAAGAAGCTATTGATTCCTCTCTTCCCAGATTCTGTTTTTGGATTGAATTGGTCTACTCCAAATGCTAAGTTACATGGCCTAACGCCACCAGCTCCCACAACCATCAGTCCTAACCCAGTAAGAAGAAATGCCATTTGCGCTGCTGTTGGTCCCCTGCATTGGCTGCTTTCTTGTGCTCCACAGTGGGGAGGATGCAACCCCGGGATTGCTGCTGTTAGCTGTATTGCCAGCAATCCCTTTATTTCAAGAAAAAAAAAAAAAGATCAGATGGATCTTTATGAATCAGTAAGAAAAAATGGTACGTATCAAGCTTGATTGTTATCTTGTACCACAAAAGAGGCACATGTAGCAAATCCCAAGGTCTTGTAGCGACCAAAGTAAGTGTCACAAAGAAAAGCTCCAATCAGTGTTCCAAAGTTGGTGGTGCCATGAAAGATATTGATCATGGTTGCAGCTGTAATGCTCTTCAAGTTGAATACAGTGGTGAGATAGATCAGGAGGTTGGCCAATGTCCCAATTGCTCCCAACTTCTCAAAAGTTTCATTCCCTGAAAAAACCATCAAATCATGTTCAAGAAAACAAAGGAAAGCACAGGAAAAAGATGAGAAAAGCATGAAGAATACAAAGAAAACTGGATTTCACCTATGATGAGGGGCATGGCTTTCCATCCTCTGTAGTTTATTTTTGCCTCCTGATCATACTTCTCCATGGCTTCTTCGACATTTTGCTCCATGGGTTCTTTATGATTTTTCTCCATGGTTTCCCCATTTCGCTCCATGAGTTCTCTATCAATTTTCTCCATTTTCTCACTCTTTTACATACCTTTTTCTTCTTCGATTGATATTTTTCATTTTTATACGGTAAAGGGCAAGTGGGGAGAAGAGAGATAGAAAAAAATTTCCTGCTTTACCTAATAACCTTAGCAGTGAAATTGTATTTGCCCCTAGGATGACAAAAACCACACGTCTCTCTCAGGCAATTCGGCGACGGTTGGGTGACATTATCGAGATGAGTCTCCAGAAGATAAAGTAATCGTCATTGCTGACCCAGATGAGCCAGAGGCAAAAGTCCCACTAACTTTTGACTCTTCAAAAGTGGTTGAAACTTGTTAGTCTAAGATCAATAAATTACAAGTTTTAGTGCGACCAATCAAGAGCAAAGTCAGTGTAAACGGAAGAAAAGAAAGAGACTGGTGAAAGTCGAGGAAAAAGAAGTTAAAATCCAATGTTAACCTCCCGGACCTTCCCCCTTTCTCACATAAGCCCTCCAAAAAAAAAAGTGACATATAAGTCCCAAAATGCTTAGATTTGAACAAATTAACTTTTATGTTAATAGTGGAATCACGTACAATCACATGTAAGTTAAACAATTGTTTGTTTCTTTGCTTGCATGATAATTTCTTTACACTTATAGTGATGTGATAATTTTTTTACATTTAAATGTCTATTGTATATAAATCAAAATTTTTAAAATTAAAAGTTAAATAATTGAAATCTCATATCACATCAATATTTGGATATAAAGAAATTATCATACAAGTAAAAAAAAATAACTATAACTTATATGATCACACATGATTCTACAATTAATGAATGAGTTAATTTGTTCAAATCTAGGTATTTAACTTACATACTTTTTTTTTGAAGGCTTATTGAGAAAATGAGAAAGTCTAGGGGCTTAGCACTAGTTTTTGCAAAAAAAAAAGAGGAAATGACATTTCAACAACCATGCTAGTGCTATTATTGAAATTGATCTAATTTTCATGATTGATCAATGCCTATTTAAAAAAAAAAAAAAACATGATTGATATTTTTATGCCCAGGCCCAGCGTGTGATGCATCTTTTATCTACTGGTCAACGCAGGCCAAGATTCCTTTTTCCACGGAAACACGTGATTCACTAGGATTAATGTGGGATTCTCTATGTTTAACATGTTGGCAGAAAAAAAATGTGGGGAATTTGTGATATTAAATTTTTTTAAAGAAAATTATGCTGTCTTTTTCCGAAAATTTTCAAGGGTATCTTGAGATTAATAGGATTACACAGAGAGAAAAATGAGAACTGCAGATATCAGATTGGAAATATTTCAAAAAGAAAAGCTCAACTTTGTTTGGTTTGAAAAAAACATATAAAAATACAGAAAGGTAATTTTATTGTTCCATCAAATTAAGGCGTTGGCATCTATTTTTCTTAAAACAACCCCACTCTATTAAGGGTTACCCTTTTTTGAGGTTGCAGAGGAAAATTCGAGAGAATTCGGGTGTTGTATTAAGAGCAATCAAAGGGCGTAATTCGCGAAGCTCTGGAAGGAATCAGACGGCAATCAAGCTAGGAATGTGAAAGGAAGAAAAGGGCACTCTGTAGACCCAATAGGAAAGGGCAGAACTTTGACTGAGAGGCAAATCAGTGAAATAGGTTTGAATCTAGGTTTATTGACTGATTTAAGTAAAAAAAAAAAATATTTTTTTATGGTAATTTAAGTCAATTTGTTGGTGAAGAAAATTGCAATGTGAAAACGAACTTGAGAGGAATAAGAACTAGAAAGTAAGTGGAAAGGGGAGTAGAACAGAAAGAAAGGAGAACGGTGCGAGGTAAGTCTGAAGAAGAAAAGGGAGAAAATCACAAGAAAAGCCCCATTCCATGCAAAGGCATCTTTATTGTTTTTAAAAATTATAGAGAGGTAAGAAAATTTTGACTTAAAAATATTATGTTAGTCTAAATAAAAAAAAAATAGTAATGAATGCTAAAGTTAAAATATTAAGGTAGAATGCTTATATTTATCTTTAAAATTAAGTAATAGAAATAAATTTACTTTTAAACATCATATAGAAATAAATTCACTCACATATTTTTAAATTTAAAATATGTAACATTAAATAATATCAATAATTTGTTAATCATAAACTTATTAATGGTATAATAAATTTACAAATTATTGACATCATCTAATATTACACACGTAAATTTATAATGATTCTTAATTTTAGCTCCAAGTTGAATGAGTAATTCTTAGCCCATATCTTTAAAGAATTAAAAAATTAATCCTACTTAATTATTTAAAAAAGATCCAATAATGTTGAGATTTCAAACATATAAATTAAAGACATTACCTTTAAAATTTTTTTCAAATTAATCAAGATTAATACTTATTAAAATTTTTTAATAAAGATATCACACTCAATTTTACTATTCATAAATTGGCTAGATCTTAAAGTTAGACAAATTTTGTCTATGAAGCCCATCTAAATTGTTGACTCATAAAAAATAAAATGTGACTGTTGAGTTGAATAATTAATTTGTTAATTTGGATAATACAGCAATAAAATAATAATAGTAATAAACATGGATAGTGAAACCCACAAGCAACTTCTTCTAAGGTTTGCCCCAATTTATACAAAAGTGTCAAAACAATAAAATGGATGCCGATGCTTCTGTATCAAATCTCACTCGATAGGACTCCTCGAAGTCTTGACTCATGGTGTCACAACGACCAAGGTAACCGGTGTCGGTTTCTTCGATCTTTATGCAATTTTTTTGGGTTAAAATATTAATTTAGTTTTTTTTAACTTTTAAGTTTGTATTAAAATTATTTTTTAATTTTAAAAAATATTAAAATTATCTTTAAATTTTATTTTTGATATTAAAATAATCTTTAAACCTTAAAGATAATATTAATTTAGTTTTGGAATTTTGAAAATAAATAGCAATATCTTTAAATTTTAATTTTTGATATTAAAATAAT